ATGTCCGAGAATTCAGCCCGGTCCGCCGCCTCGAACACCTCCGCCCGTGCATGCAAATTCGAGACCAGCGGAGCCTGCGCACCCGCCGGCACGACCAACACGCCAGACATCTGGCAATCCAGACTCTCGAGGCCCGCATGGACCGTGTCAGGCAGTCCCCAATTTGATGGATGCCCGGGCTGAAACGCCGCCTCCCTACCCCGGAGCAGCTGCCTCTCCACGCACGGTCTCTCTCGCGCTTGCTCCTCCGGCCAGTGTACAGGCGACAGCATCTCAGGATCAGCATCCTCGAGATGACACTCCGTCCAATAGCCGCCTCCGTAAGACATCGGCCAACGATGCTTCAGGAGGACGCACCGATGCTTTGACAACAAGTACAGCCCTCGCCAAGTTGACCACCCGAGACTTGTACAGCGCCTTAGAGGAGCAAACCCGGGGGTCCGAATTTCGGATTCCACCTCCGCATCAAACTGCGACAGCTGCAGGCCGCACCGAATGGCTCCAGCCAGAGGTGGCCCTCACTCGCTTTTGCGCCGCTCCGCCATTTGTCGAATGTTTAAATTGGGTGATGTGTCATTTGGACTTCACCCTTACGGAGTTCCCGCAGTCCCCCGCGGTCATGCAGAATTTAGTGATCGCACTGACGCCAGCGGTATTGATTACCAACGCCGCATCCGCACACCAATTCCTGCTTGGATTGATTCCGAAGAGACCATCATTTGGAGACTGTCATTCAGTGACATGCCAGGTCCTGTGTCCATTCAAGCCACGGGCGACACTCACGTTCGCTGGTACCATGGCACCACCCTTTTGTCGGCTATCGGAATTTTGAAAACGGGCAAAGTCATGAGGAGCACACGTGAAGGACTCAACATGCCTGACACTCATGACTGCTATGGCTTTTTTGCGAGGGCCCACCTTGCGGGCGGTACCGCGGCCGAATTGGCTGCATTTGCTGGGCAATGCGCATATCATACCAAGAACGCGAGCGGCCTAGTTTTCTCTGGCGGGTGCCGAGGGAAATCCACTAAGCCCACGTCTGCGGACACGTGGCGGGAACAAGAACTCGCACGAAGGTACGAGATTGTCCACTCCGCTAGTAAAGACAAGCGATGGTGTATTAGGGAGTCGGCAGCTTGCTTGACAGATTTATTTGTCGTTACAGTAAAGGAGGATCAGCAGTGGGGATCCTGGGGACAGGCGACAGGCCCCGAAATGCTGAACATCCTCGCCGGGTGAGGGCCCACTTGTTAAATCTGTTATTCCCAATCAAGGTGCGGTTTTGAGTGCGAATCCGGCTCAGACAAGTCTCACCCCACTTGACTTCGCATCTCGAAAAAAGTCCGCTTCTCAACCGTGCATTGTCATTACCTTTTGATGACCTTTCTCGCATTGCCTCTGGGACCGAATTGAACACTGCTTGATCCCTTGCAGCTGTTTTGATTCCCCCGGAACGGCCCGTTGTTGATTGCCCCAATGAGCTGGAGTAAGCCCGTCTCGTCTGACAAGTCTTGGGACCACCGCTCGTGGAAGTCCCGCACTACATGGCAAGACGATCAATGGAATTCTTCTTCGTGGAACCCTGGTTGGCAGGATGCCAGTCAACCTGTTTCATCGGGAAAATGGCCCAACAAGTCATGGCAGGATTCTTGGGAACACAAGCCTTCGCCCGACTCCCACGGCCCAGCCACCCCGGATAAGAGGACTCCCATGCGGAACCCCGACCTTAAGTACAGCCCCTCGGGAAAGCCCAGCGGCGCTCCTACCAGTTTTCCGGGTTCGTGGACCACGGACGCCCACCATCATGACACCAAGCCGATATTTG